AGCAAAAATAGTGTGAAAAATGGGTCCCGTATTAACAGATAATTTTTTTTGTGTGACCTTGACCCTCCAAAAATTAATCACTTCAAAGTTGGGTCACAATCCAAATGTATACCAACTTCCATCCAAATACATTCAGTAATTTTCGAGAAATCTTGCTGACAAACACACACACACACACACGGATGAAAACATAACCTCCATTACCTTAGGTGGCTGAGGTAATATCTAGCACATCAACAACATCCGCAAGTTGGGAGGAAAGGGAAATGTAATATACCACATACCTGATTAACTAGCTGTAAAAAAAAGGTATAGAGTAAGAATGTGCCAGAAAAAGTGAATCCAATTTTCTTCTCCTTGATTGTATTCATCCTCAGAAACATAATCAGGTTGAAAATAAGAAGAAATCACCAGCGAATATAGGAATCTAGCTCCCTGCAAATTAAGACCTGTAGTCAATATATGAAATTACAAAGTCGTTCTAGGTTACTGGATAATTCGATGCAAAGAAAAAATGAAACATGTGAATGCAAACACAGTCGAGGAAAACTGTTGATAAAGGTATTAAAATGTTAATGAAGTACAATCATAAACAGTAGTTACATGTGAAAAAACTCATCTAAATGATGCTGTGCCAATATAGGTGGCACAATACTATTGGTGGAGGGTGGTCACATGCTACATACATGTTCAATAGTGGCATGAAATTTGTGGGGTATATACATTGGTATGCTGAGTGCTAAAATTTTTTAGCAATGCTTAAGGGGCAGAAAAAAAAGATCAAGATAGCTATGTGTGAAAGGTGGTAAGACTATATCAGAATAATCGGGAAGGTTAGAGTTTTGAAGCAAAAATCATGAAGTGTCATAAGACACGTGCAAAAGTTAAAGAATTGAGCATATCTGTGAGATCAAGCCTTAAAAGATAGAGGAAGATTGAGGTTTTTTTTTTCAGCCAGTACTAAGATACATAAAGCAAAACCAGAAGGAGGGAAAAGGCACTTGAATTTATTTTCTTCTTATTCATTGTCAAATTGAGGAGAAGAATGAATGGAAAAAGAAGACTCAGCATACATAACGGACACCACAACCCAATGTACAATGGTCATTATGTTGTCCATGGTTAACAATCCTCCTGAAGCAATAGTTGAAATAGGTATTACATGTGAACTTTCTTCACTCACACAGGAGTAAGTAGAAGTCACATAAGCTTGTGAATTCATCGTAACAAAACAAAGCAATCAGAGCTAATTCCAATTTTGTAAAATAAAACCCAAGGTTTGTAAACAAGTGCAAATCTTAACAGAGTAGAAATTTAAACATGTCTGTTCAATACAATGCTGAGGAAAAGAAGTTATCAAGAGTGCACATGTATAGGGAGAGTTACTGCACATGGATGTTTTGTCATATAATGACATCATCATGCACCAGTACAGTTCATGTTAAAACACACAAAACTAGGTGGAAGTTACCTTAAGGCTAGTGGCATGTAAATCTCTTAGGCAGACACATGGGGAAGATAACTAAACTATGTGAAAGAGGCAAGTTATCATCTCAGAAATAAACAACTAATTAATATTGTTTTTTTATTTTCAATCAATTCAACTTCGTTCAGCTTAATCAATCAGTGTCATAACTAATGAAAACAATCAACTAATCAAAATTAGGGTTTCTGATTATTACTACTTTTGATTATTCCAATTAGCTAAGTAATGCCATTTTGTTTGCTGTTAAGCATAAAACAATTTAATGGCATAACTGTGCTCTGTCCACCACAATATTGAAACCTGATTGTTATCACTGTTTTATTTGTTGTTGTTTTATGACTTCAATTATGACCACCACCTAGCTGTTTTTTTTCTTACTCAATGATGTAATAATTGAATAGTTGAAAGTAAGTGATTATTAATTGATTAGCAGATTACACTGATCACCCAGATCTATATTTGCATGCATTTAAAGTTTGTTCTTTTTAGCCATGGCATAGCGGCTCATAAAATGGCTCATAGTTTTTTTTTCAAGTACAAACTTTTAGCTCATAGCTCCATCTTTTGACTGATTTGAAATCTAATTACAACCAAGGCTATTGAGGATTCTCTCTTGTTAAAATTATCTTTCAAAGTTGCACAAGGACTATCTGGAAACAACTGTATCTCATTTGGAACAGATAAACTAGAAGAAAGGTAGCTAGTCTACAGGACCTGCCACCAGATCTTGAGTTACTCTTGTATCACCAAAGAGGGGAATTTGACTGTTGCTCTTATAGTGCATTCATAGCAAGAGAAAGATAATGCACTTTGGTTATCATAATTTTGCTCACACATTTCATATAGATTTGAACCCACTGAAAACATGACTAAAGAAAAGGATCTTGGTATAGTGGAAAATAGGTGACTCAAGCTGCTGAGGCACTACTCTATAGCTAGTAGTAAAACTAATAACATTTTAGAATGTACTTATATTGACTACAAGTCTAGAGGTAATTTTCTCTTTGTATATGCAAATCACTAATTTGGCCTCACTTGAAAAATTATATAAGTAGTTTTGGTCTCATTATCCAAAAAAGGATACTGACTTAATGAAAATAATTCAAAAGAAAGTTCTGAAGAAAATAGGAGAAAGGGAGACAAGCTTAAGTTTTGGAAAAAGAGAGGTTGGGCTTCAGTTAAGAGAGTTTCATTTTTCTAAGAACAAAATTAGTTTATGGAATGAGTTGTTGATGGTAGTGATGAAGGACAGCATGCTACAAGACTTTAAGAGGAGTATCAATTATTCCCTGCAAAATAAAAAAAAAGGGAGGATTTATTTTTTACATTTTCTTGGGAGATAGGTGTGAAAGGACAACCTTGAAAAACTATATAGTCTTTGGTTGTCCTTATATTCTGAAATATCAACCATGTCTCAGATTAAAATTGAAACAAACTTTCAAACATATAAGATCCACAACTATTATACACCTAACATGTAAATTAATCTGTTATAACATTTCAGGAACAACTTGAACAAGATTGTTTATTGATCTATTGAGACTGTTACACCCACTTTAAAAAATCCAGTCCTAATCATTTATATATTTATTGAGCCTTCTCTTAAACTCCTTTAAATTAACTGCATCAACTACATCTGAAGGCAACTCAATCCACAGTTAGAAAAGTAAAATTATCTAAGTTGAACATATTGTTGGTGTGAATGTGCTTTGCAGACACTATGAGAACAACTTATACACTGGACAGGTGAAGGGAAGAAGGAGTGTCATTGGCCACAATTCAGTTCTTTATATTATATAGCTCCACATTCACACCAACAGTATGTTTGATACTTTTCACTATGATATAGGTCCTGCTTATCTCTCTTTGGTTAACTTGTGTTTAGGGTTACTGATGAGGAGTGGAATTTTCTGAAACTAGTACAACCCAATAACACACATTGATTAAAGTGTAGATTGAAGTGGACCTCCCTTGAACTTAGACTTTGAAAGCAAACAATTTTTGGAATATATATATATCTAAGCTGAAGATGACTCCTATCCTGTCAAAATTTATATTTCTCTCCCCTTTTCCTATCATTTTTACTATTCAATACAAACAAAAAATGTTGCATCCATACTATCAATTTTCTTAATAATCTAAAACATGTCGTCTGATTCCTTCTAACTCTCCTTTTTCAAGAAAAAACAAGTTCAGAGACCTTAAACTGCTTTTTTACAGTTGTAGGGCAACCCTTCCACCCCAGTTATCATCCTAGTAATCCTACTTTGAATCATTTACAACAGTTCAATATTCTTCTAAGTTCTAAAGGTAAGAAGCTCAAGACATAATACAATACTCCAAATAAGGCCTAACTTAAAAAAAAAAAAGTCCCTAAAGTAGAGAGTCTTTTTAGCTTTAGACTGTTGACCAAGTAATTAAGGTTGGAATAAATGTACTACAAACAAAGGATACACAAGTAATTAATTATACTTTAAACTAAGTCATTTTGATAAAGGTTATTATTATTTTTGATTCAAACTTCAAGGTTTATGCATAAGTTCAATACAAATACTGAATTAATGATTCCCTGCAAGTGAGATTTTTTTGGTTGCTTGCTTTTGGCACACGAGTTATTTTTTTAATTTGACTATATCTTATAGGTAATTTATTTAAAAGTGTGAGAAATGCTCACAAAAACTCATTTCATGCTATGGGAAAAAATAACTTACTGTCATGAATTTACCATTATTGTGTTTTATCTTTTGTGTGACTTTATTAGTTTTATTTACAATTTTCCTTACTCTTACTCTTAGACGTAAGCATCTTAAGTGGGATTTTCTTGGAATATCTTTAATGAGAGAACTTAAGTTAAACTTTAATAACCTTGTAAGTTATAATAAATTTTTGTTGTGTGTGTGTGTATATATATATATATATATATATATATATATATATATGTGTGTGTGTGTGTGTAGTGTTAGTTACGTTACGTTTACTTTACTTACGTACTACTT